ATGTAAAAGCTGGGCCTCCATATTAGAATTTTTCTAATATAAACGTACTCTAAATAGTACGTAAAACGTACTTTTAAAAGTACGTAAACTTAAATTTTCTTATATATGTTATACCGGTTTTTTTATATTACTAAATACCTTTTCCACTTTACATGTTAGATATTTGGAAAATGCCATTAAAAGGCCCCAGTAATATACCAAACATAAAATTTGGTCTAGTTCCTTTAATAGAACTATATTAACTTTCCAAATCTATTTACAACTGAATACTTCGGTAGCGAGATGGCTCAACCGAACATAGGTTTCTAAGGAATATTAGCGTTGCTTAGTTTATCCTCCGTTCAGCCAACCAGATGTGCCAATCTGAGGAAGGCTAAGTCGGTAATTCTTGATAAGTGGCAAGTTATTGGTTAATGCAATAACTATGGACATCAAAAGTATCTTTCTTTCTTTTATTCTTTTTTTCTAAGGATAGGATTTTATGAGTCTCTCGGATTCGCCCCAACGAAACATACAATAGTTTCTAATAGAGCGACAACGAAACACTAAATAAAATCCCTTCGGCGAAAACAGTACTGAGAGGATTATATATAGGCAATATCTTAGCCTCACAATCTCTCAGAGTATTGCTGTTTTCACGAGGCAAACCTAACTTTACTAAAAGACTCATTTCGTTTATTTACATTGAATTTAATTATACTTAGACTTATACTCGGCGTTTAATTACTCTAAGGCCTTAATATCGCCTTGATAGACCGAAACTTACACATTTTAATGTTAGCAAAGGTATTAACTACTTAGACTACTTGAACGTAAAGGTAGATAACTACCACAAAAAATTCCTAAGCACAGTCACTCCTTAAGAGAAGAAGACTGAAGTCATAAGTTAAGATTATGACAAAGAAAGACAATACACCTGCAAAGAAACGCAAGGCCGAACGTAAGAAGATGGAGAGAGAAACCGCTAGCGCTGCAGCAGCTACCGCTACCGCAAGAGCAACCGCTGCTGCTGCCGATGCGTTTAACCGCACCGTAGCCGAAGCACGTGTCTCCGACAATAATAGTCAGGACAATGCCTGGGATAAGGATGTAGCCACTCCTATTAAGGGAACTATTCCTACAGATAGAGCCCGAGGGCCAACTATTGCCTCAGCTTCGAAGCTTGCATTTACGAATCTAGGAAGTGAGACAAGGAACACGTCTCAAGACGCCCCAACCAATTCTTCTGACGAAACTCAGAAAGAAAAGTTTCCAATTTTGGGGGACAAAGACGAATCTCAGAAGGTACCTATACCGGAACCAGAACAGGAGGCAAGCTCAAGTGACAAACCCGAATCTACGTCCGAGACCAATGAACCAACGCTACTGAAAACACTGATCTTAAGAATCAGTTAGCCGTCATTATGAAAGGCATGACTGTTGAACATGTAGATTAAATATATGGATCAGTAAAGCATGCGCAGCACGTACGCGAGCATGTTTCTCCGGGCACTACTGAAGCCCTACAGAAGTGGTTAGAACGTCGACTGGCAATTACGCCCGAAAGCGTAGGGACCTGAACACTACACCTGTGGCAGTTGAACCAGATGTGCTCGGCGTATCTATTTCTTATGAGGTACTACCATCACAACTCCAGGCTAATTATTCGCCTGTTCTAACGCCCTGCCACGAGTCGCCCATCCTTGAGGGTATTATAGAGCCAGAGGCAGGTAAAAATACTCCGCCACTTTTACCCAACTGGAATGACAATCGTCGAAACCCAGTTAAGATGAATCACCCAAGAAATATAATACCAACTACTATCCAAGGAGCAGATCACCGAAAGGCCTCGACTATGGACTTTACAAGGGGTAATAAACACTCCAGTAAACGTGTTAACGATGTCGAATTAAATCGCCTCGATCGCACCGTATTACACCAGCCCGCAGAGGATTTCCACTCTGACGAGGTGACCGAACTTAATAAATCGGTCGACGATTACACCATTAAGATAGAAATAGCCCATGACGAGCACCGTGCTGATGACGTATCATATTTTGCTATTATGATCGCGATCAAGCAGAAGCGCATCGATCAGCTACTTCAGGCCCAACGTGGGCAAGACCACAGGTACAACCAGAAGTACAAGGGACAGATCAGTCGACTTGAGTCAAATTGGGATGCCAACAGCAAGCAGGTCGAGTTTATGAACAACCATGACCTCGACACGCTAACCCGTACGCTTAATGCGTTTCCGGTCGTGCTGGAGACGAATGATATCGCTCCCCAGCAATGGATTTCTGCTTTAATGCAATCGTTTGACTCTACAGGAACAAGTTACTTGATCCTGCAGCGACACCAGCATGAGCTAGACACCTGTCGTGACTGGCCAGCTGTGTGTTGGTTGGTTACATCCTTATTAAGCACGGACATGCGCAGTCCAGGACTGAGTTCAATCTTAATTGAACCAGTTGAGAATACTCCTATTCAGAGTTACATTCTGAAACTTGATGCTGACCTTAAACGTCCAGATATAACAAAGGGGCGCAGCGATGGTACGAGTTCTTGGTTATGTATGTTTTCTGTAAGAACATAGGGAACAACGACCGTGAAAGTCTGGACACCGAGTTGCGACGTAAATACGCAACTGAAGCTCGTGACAAGTGTAAACTTCGA